CAGGATTCTCTGTTCCTCAAATCCTGCATAGCTATTGGCTGTTCAGCTTTTTATCAAACCAATCTGAGTGACACATCTTTACAGTGTACAAAAAGGTTATTCCACAGCAAACTGTCATTATGACTAAAATCAGAAGGGGAGCCATTTTGGGGGAAGGGATGGGACTTGATGATAAGTGTGGAAATTAATAGGAGGTAGTTCTGAGCAGAGTACAAAGAAATGTTTGGAAAATGTCACAATGATCCCCATGCTTTTGTACACTAAGTGTTTTAAGAGTGATTAGCATTATGTTCTAGGGCATTTCTCATGACCATGTGACCTTCATTGCCTCCAAACAGGTGGAAAATGATCTATCCCTTACAGTTAGGTTTGGCCTCAGAACTTGTATTAACAAGCAGCATGTCTGAGCTAAGACTGGGTGAATGACTATGTCTTAGGATTCTTATTTTCTCTATACTATGAAACAGGTTGTCCTCGAGAGACCCCACCCAGGGAAGCCACACACACCCACCTCTGCTAACAGACATGGGTGACACCTGTTTCTAGTGAGAGTTCCACTTTACCTCTAAAGCCAGGAGAATTTGAGCCCTGATCTATGTCTTTGTGTGGCTAGTCCTTGTAATGTTTAACAGTCAGGAGTGCAGGTCAGTGTAAACTGAGAGCCAGGCTCCTTCTCTTCACATTATATATTCCTTGAGTTTTCATTTCTGCACCTCATGATACCATCTTTTACAAAGTTCTAGGCAATGTCCTAGCTAACTTCCAGGAGGGTTTTCCTCTGTAAGTGACAAAAACATTCCTTCACATAGTCACTTGGGGAGGGGTCTGGAGCTCACACCCCCTGGTCAGCCAGTGTTATGGTACTTAATTTGTGAACAAGCAAACTCTTAAGTGATTAGAACTTGACGAGTCATAAATACGTCAGCAGTCTGTCTGCCTTTACATCTCTATGTTTTTAAACCTCCCCATACTAACTTCCTGGAGGATTGCCCTGACCTTGAATGCTTTGATGGTTTGTAAGGCTCACTATCCTGAGGTTTCAGTGACCCAGTACTCTGGAGTTTATGGTAACAAACTTCAGGCGCAAATGTGACAGGTTGCAAAATCCCTGTGTGTGCTTCCTCACTCCTTTTCCTACTCTGATCTGGTATTTCCTCTTTAGCATTTGAGCTATAGACTCAAAAAATTGCTCTATGAATTAAGAAGAGGATGAATGTCATTCTGTCACTATTCTAGATCCCTTTTGCTGTTCTCCTCCATCTTTAGGCCCCATAGCTCTCTGGAGAGTCAGGCTGTCAAGCCCCAATGGACTGCAGCCAATGCAGGAAACAAGCTACAGGTAACCATTTCCGCCACAGGAAGCACAGAAGAGGGAGGGGCCTTTGGTGGCTTCCAGTACCATAAGAACTAGGGGCTGGCCTTACTCTATAGACAAGATTGCTGGTGTTTAGGGCCCCCTTTTGTTTTTGTTTTGTTTTTTTTTTTTTTGAAGCACAGAAGGAATTCTTTCCATTTTTTTTTTCAACCATCAGTTTACAAAGAAAATAGCTTTTTTTTTTTCTTTTTGAGCTTGCCATGTGAAGGAAAAGCAATTAGCCAGGGATCCAAGAAGGAGAGGAGAGAATGCCCCTGCTCCCTGCCTCCTAGGGTTTTCAGGATGTCCTCAGCCACTGACCTACACCCTAAGCCTGTACTGTATTTATTTCTTTTAAAAGTACATTAGTTTCTATTACTGTGTGTGGGTGCACATGCCATGGCATGTGACAACAGTAAAAGCAACTCCGTGGAGCCTCTTCTCTTCCTCCTCCAGCTTCCCATTGGTTCCAGGAATCACTCATGTTGCCAGGCTTGCAGGACAAGGGACATGACTTGCTGCGCCATCTCCCCAATCCACTATTCATTTTCTATCTGAGCGAAGAACTGTAGAAAAGTAGAACTTTTGGGGAAGGGTTGTTGGTTGTCTTTCCCCTACCTTTGCATCTAGGTAGGCACTTCATCAGCAGAGCTAATAGCCCTACCCTCAGAAAAATACAACTGAGTAACAAATGGCTTAACTTTAGTGCTGTGGTTTCATGTGGCTGGGTTTTCTTTAAGGGGAATGAATGGCCAAAATGCTTGTGTGCTGTTACATTACTGAAGATGAAAAGGTCACCCATCCTTACCCCGTTCCTTTCAATTCTGTAGTATTTTTTTTTAATTTTATTTGTTTATTTTTTGTATGAGTGGTCTATCTGCATATACAACTTTATGCCAGAGGAGAGAATCAGATCCCATTATAGATGGTTGTGAACTACCATGTGGTTGCTAGGAATAGAACCCAGGACCTCTGGAAGAACGGTCAGTGGTCTTAACTGCTGAGTGAACTCTCCAACCCCAATTCTGTAGTTCTTGATCTTCAGTGTCTGTCAGAATCACATGGAATATTCTTATAACACAAATTGCTGTGCTCTACCCTTAGAAATTTGGATTTAGTTCTTAAGTCAAGGACGAACTTGATAATTCACATTGCTAATGAGTTCCTGAGTGCTGTCTCTGGAAGAAACACTAAAATGAGTAATCATGCTTGAAGGCATGCAGAACTCTTGTCCAGTGCATATCTAGTGCCTCATAACAGGCAACATGGGATTGTGGTGCGGGGAACCTGCAGATGTTGGTGATTAGGGAGCTAGGGGAATCGAGGGATTTGAGGTTGAGGGGATTGGAACAGGAGCCTGGAGGAACCGAAAGAGAAAGTAGGAATGAAGGGAAGGTCCCAACATTCCAGTGTGAGGTGACACCCACACAGCCCTCCCTGTTTTGGATTTGGTGGCTTTATGGAGTTTGATGGTTGAGGTGATGAGAAAACCTGTATTTATAGCTGATGGAGAAGACCGGGAAAGTTTTCTTGTGGTTTTCTTCTGTGTGAAATATCAGAGACGAATAACTCCTTGGACTTCCATTTCCTTGACAGTGTGTATTAACTGACGAATTGGAGCTCTTTCTTTTAGGCAAATCAGGTTATAGTGATACTATGTCAATTAAATGGCTACTTCTCTTTTATTTTACTAAATGGTTGAAATCTAAGTTGGACGTGATAAGATATGCACAGACTAATCTTTAGAGTTCTAACTCATCAGTTTTGCTAAGTTCATATGGGAACATCAAGGCAGGAAATAACTCAACTTCAATCCTATTTTTAATTTTTAACATTCCATTGTAAGTATATCATTTTGATTTTAAAAGTCCAAAGCTTGCCATCGCCAGGTAGATTATATTTGGTTATGAAGTCATTGGGATTCTTCTTTCCAGCTATGATCACTAACAGGGCAATGCTCACATCTGGCTTCTTCTGTAGGACTGGGGCTTGAACCTAGGGTATTATGCATGCTAGCCAAATGCTGCACCACTAAGCTGTGTTCCCAGCCCTGCGGGTCTATTTTTTAAAAATCTACTTAACTGAGGTAAGACAAAAATAAGAATTGCGGTTTCTCTTTCTAAGAAATGTCAGTCATTAATAATAATATGAAGATTTCCAAACTCTCCCATGACAGCAATATCCAGGACATATTTTATAGTAAACATTTTAATAAACAGCAGCATAAAATAATCAGTGTTTAATATCATCTCTGGTGGTGAAATACATATGCATATACCCTCAATATAAAATAGTTTTTTGGTCATTACAAGTCCATGTTTTTCTATTTGGAATGCCCATAAGAACAAATCGAACATTGATACAGTGATTAAATGCATGCAGTGAGAATAAGGAAAGGTATGGTAGTGTAAGCTATCTGCACATCGCCTTTATATATTTGAAGAAAATCTACATTGAGTTAAAAACAAGCAAAGGAAATAAAGAAACAGACCAGCTATAAAAATGCAGATATATTTTCACTTCTGTGATACAAACCATAAACAGTTTTGTGCAGAGAAAAAAAAAAAACCTGAAAATAAAGTTAGCTTACAAAACATTGTCAACAAAGTGAAAGACTTTTCAGCTTGTGAAAAAAGGTACCATTTAATACAAAAGAGGCTGCATGATAAAGCGCCACAGCACTGGTTTAATAATTATAGCAAGTGGTTTTGAAATTTAGTTTGCTCACCTTAATGGCTTCAGTTATTATAAAAGGCTTAAAAATAAATGTTATAGTTCTTTATAAAAAAAAACTAAGTTGAATTTATTATTTTTTTAACCATAATAATGACTTTTCAGAGAAGGTATCTTACTGGCTCATGGAATGCTAATCCCCCTTTAAGGGACTCCTTGAAAACTCAGGTTCACTGAGACTGTGTTTACTCAAAATAAATATTCTTGGAAAACAACTGATTGTCATACCATATACAAAGTTGTGGTTTGAAGCGTCATCGTTAAACAGTTGCATAGCAACAAAAGGATACAATCTCCTCCTCTACTCAACTTCAGAGATGTTATGTTGAATCAGCTTATTCATGCCACAGAACAGCTCTGAATCTATTGCCCAGTAAATCTGAATATAGCCAACTCTTTTGTGTTCACAGTACCTATAAGTTCATGCTTGTTTGGGAAAACCTAGGCACATTTTGGCAGGCAGATTTCCTAGATTTCTTATGCAAACTTCACCTTGAAAGGCAGAAATAGCAAAGTCTTCCTAACTTTCTTTTATCCCCCCCCCAAGAAATATTTTTCTCTTGTGAAACATTTCCAGGATTTATTTTGCATCTTATAAGTCTTTAAGTCTCTATAGCTTTAAAATAAAAGCAAGACTAGCTGACATTTTTCTTAGAATAAAGGAGTTATTTTTTAAAAAGAGAAAAAAAATCAAATTTAAAATTCCTTTCTATGGGGAACTTGACTGCCACAGGAATTCCGAATTTGGTAAAAGGTAGTTGGCAAGTAAATGCCAGGATGGGCACACTTGATGTCACCCCTAAGGAATGCAAGAAGAATCAAATTGCTTGTTTGCCAAGTTAAGAAATTCGGAGTTTATCATTGTTGAGAGAACTCTGATATATTTCTTTTATAACATCCCACAATGTTTGCAAAATAGGACGTATTGTCTTTGGATTCCAGTTAGCTCTATGAATAAATTGTTGTACTCCTTGGTGCTAGAATATAATCAGTGAACATCCAGGAAAAAACAAGAAGACGAGTGAGAGTTTAAATTTCCTCGCTACTGGCATCATCGCAGGGTTTCCTCCTGCTCACAGTCTATGACAGTAAACATTCCCAAGACCTTGGCCAACTTGTAAACTGGTTGCAAGGCATGGAAGTGAGTGTGATTGCCTCTAGCATCACCTGTGACTGGTCCAGGGAAGCTCCTATAGAGAGGCTGACCAAAGGAACAGTGAAACAGCCCTCTCCGGTGGATACTGATCCAGGGTGAGGAACCATTTTCCTGACTCTGCCTCCTTGGGTGCCCCATTCCTAAAGCAATAACCCGAACTGTAACATACAGCCATTTCCAGCATCCACATCTACCATTTTTTAGGGCCTGTGTAAACACATTGTGGAAAGGGGACTGGAAAAGGCCTTCATGATGATAAGAGGAGGTTCACATAAACACCCTACACATCCCAGAGAAGTCCGGCTACTGAGAGGACTTCTGTGGACACGGCAAGTCTGTATGGCTCATTTCCATCCAAGATTTAAAATGTAGCCTCAAGTTCCCTCTGTGGTGCTAAACACCACACCATCCAAACAGGCTTAGAGTCTAAGTTGAATCAAACAGTTCCTGAACATCTGTCCTGAAGTAGAGACAGCAGGTAGACAAATGCTACAGTATATACATTTTGGGGGGTAGATCAACCACGATGACCAAAGGTGAATACACAGAGCACCTTTTGACTTCCATTTTTTGGTTTACTATGTAATTACACTGTTCTGTTTCTCTTCATTGGTTTTCAGTACTTGGAAATGGTTGTTCCCAACACCACATCACGCACAGAGATGGAGTGTAAATCCCACAATGCATTATTTTTTCCTGGCTGGTGTCTTTCCAGTAAGACACAGCGCAGCTTCATGGAAGATACTCGTTGCAAAGTCTACTAAATGAGAACCTTCAATTAAAAAAAAAAAAAAAGCATTGGAATATAAATCTTTCTGCCACTTTTTAGCTTGTCCGGTACAGAGTATTTACAAAAGTCACACATTTTATACTTCTGCAGAAATCATAGATTCGGTGTGTCCGTGAATGTTGGAGTCTCCAAGCAAAGATGGTTGCTTTGAGTCTATTTTGTAAGGTTTTTGAGATTTGTTGCCAAAAACAGTGATACCCATTCCACCCGGGTGATTTGGAATTGACATGTGTGGTAACAACGGAACATTTGCTTCCTGATTGGATCCTGATGAGGGCAAGCTGGCCACATGGCCAGTGCTGGTTGACCCACTGGCGCTGCTTGGGGACCGACTCTTGGGTGGTGGGCAGTGTTGAATCACCCTGGGAGGCGCTGCAGGCTGGTAGTGGGCAGCCGGAAAGGCGGCATAACCCGGAGGTATTGGGTAGCCATTGATGGGGATGAAGCGCTGGTTTTGAGGTATCGCTGGGCCAATGAAACCAGCAATCTGGCCCTGTGGTGTAATTCCCTGGCCTGGGAACATGTAATTGGGAAATCGGGGATTGCTGAGGTTACTCACAGGGCTGGCACTGAGGGAGGTGGTCTGCGTAGTGGCATTTCCACCTGAGGGAGTGGTAGAGCTGGTGTGACTTGAGAGGCCCTCCCAGGATCGAAGCCGGACATGGATGTCTTTAAAGCGCGGTCTCCTGGAAGGAATCTCATTCCAGCACTCGGTCATGAGGCTGTACATTCGCGGCGGGCAGTCTTCAGAACACGGTAACAGCTGTCGCTTCCGTACCATCTCGATCACTTCCTGATTACTGAACCCATAATACGGCTGGAGTCCAAAACTGAAAATCTCCCACAACACAACCCCAAAAGACCAGATATCAGAATCAGAAGAGAATTTGCCATACATGATGGCTTCAGGAGGCATCCAGCGAATGGGCAGCGAAGACTTACTCTGCACCCTGTAGTAATCGGCAGAGTAAATTTCTCTGGAAAGCCCAAGGTCTGAAATCTTTACATGCAGTTGCTCTCCAATTAAAATATTGCGAGCCGCAAGGTCCTTGTGCACGAAGAAGTGACTAGACAGGTATTCCATGCCGGCGGCAATCTGAATTGCAATGTGCAAGAAATCTCCATGATCCAGGCTGGATTTTACTGTCCCGTCTTCATCACTGCTACAGCCCACATCGGAATGCGGGGATCGCATAATGAGGAACTCATGGAGGTCTCCCTGGTTCGTATACTCAAAGAGCATACATACGGGTTGTTCCTGGGTGACGGCGCCGAGGAGGCATACAATATTGGGGTGGTGTAGTTCCGCCATAAGAGAGGCTTCCTGTTGAAATTCTGTCCACTGCTGGGGGTTGTTATAGTCTTTCAAGGTCTTGATAGCCACCAACTGTGCATGGTCCATGCCTGGGAGGTAGAGGTGGCCTTTATAGATCTTCCCAAAGGTACATTCCCCCAATTCTTCCATGAAACGTACAGCAGAAAGAGGCAACTCCTTAGCCTTGCTCTGTAAGAAAGGGAAAGTGCGTGTTAAACCCTTCCTTAAAGCCAGACATCTTGGTATTGAAATGAGAGGCGGGGCATACCAAAGGTAACAGGTAGAATGATTGTGATGGAGGTGATAGGAAAGGCGCTTGCAGTTTCCTGCAGACCAAGGCTTGTTTCTATAGTTCTTTCTATCCATTATCATCCTGATGTGACTCCAGCATCTCCCTGGAGGAGAGTGATTTTAATACCCGTTGAAGAAGCTGGGTGTGGTGGCAGATGTATGCAATCCTAGCATTGTGGAGTCTGAGGCAGGAAGATGGAGGCTATCTAAGGCTACCCAGTGAGGGCTTATCTAAACAACAGAACAAAAGCCCCAAAGAGAGGACAAACAAACAAGTAAACACAATGGAAACCAAAGGGGTGTGTGTGGGGGGGGAGGTAGAGCAGGCATGGTGGTATGGGGGCATATGCCTGCACAGAGGTAGAAATGCCAGAGTTTGAGGCAAGCCTGGGCCAAAACTCAGTCTCAAAAAGGGCTGGGAATATAGATAGCTCAAGTGCTATCTCATGCAAGGCCCTGGGTTTAATTCCTAGGCATGAAAGTGTGTGTGTGTGTGTGTGTGGGGGTACTGAATAGAGTATTATAAAGTTGTAGAAAATAAGGAAGCCTAATATGTGCAGGTATGGGATGGTCTCTAAAATCCTGTTGCTTTTAGTTCATAAAAATCAGAGCAGCTTGAAAAAAAAAAATCAGAGCAGCTAATGCCATACATAACTTCCGCATAAGAGAGGAGGAATAGAAAGGGCCTGTCCGCATTTCTTTGTATGTGCACTAGGACATTTAGAGAGCTGATAGAAGGAAGTTCAGAACAGCAGTGCCCATGAGGGAGAGTAGAAGTGGGAATTAGGAAGAGAAGGGGTGGGGTAGAGATTTTCATCTCAGCTCTTTTATACATCAAACATTTTAGGATACTTCAGTCTTTCCATCTGGCTAATCAGGGATTTCTTTTCCACCATTATAGGTCTACCTACATGCCGCTCAACCTTCCTAATACAGTTCCTCATGTTGTGGTGACCCAGCCATAAAATTATTTTCATTTCTACTTCACAACTGCAATTTACTATTATTACGGATCATAATGTGAATAGCTGTGTTTTCCGGTGGTCTTACGTGACCCCTTTGAAAGGGTCACTCCGCTCCCAAAGGGGTCTCAGCCCACAGGTGAGAACCACTCGTATAACAGGTGGAAAGTGACTGTAATTTTGCTACTGAGCTGTGTCTCAGTTCCCGAGACCACTGGGAATGTGTGTTTTCCCGTAGTCTCAACCCACAGGTTGTGAATCACTGGTCTAGATTGGTTGTTTCTGCTTTTTGGTTCAGGTGATTAAACCCAGGGCCTCAAGTACTCTAAGCATACACTCTACCACTGTGCTCCATCCTCAGGGTGGGATTCTTGTGGGATCTGTCGGACTCCTTAAAAAACATAATGAATTAAACTGACTGTTTTTCTAAGAGCATGGGATGACCTTACCTTTTCTGGGAAGAGTAACCCGAGATGAATCCTTCCTTCATGATGTTAAGGTAAGGATTCCCATGATAATCATTAAGTAACAGAAAGGAATCCAATGGATGCCCTGGCCTCTTAAACAGTACAGTAGGTGTTCATTGCTGTTTTACCTGCACAGGAGTTCCAGACTTTGATCCTAAAGAAGGGTAAGGAAATGAGCACTAAAATCTCTCTTGGGAAAAAGAGAAGGAGGAAGTAAACCAATGACCCACCAGACTGAGAACAAGGACTTAAAGCCTGGGTACTCTCCTACACAGCTAGAAGTTAACCCTTGGCAAAAAAGGTGGAGTTCAAATCACTGAGTGCTGAACCCAAGCACATCTGGGTTGACATTCTTTGATCTGCTGTTTTCTACTAATACTAGTTAATTCCTAAACAGCACATAACTAACATTACGAGCCTGTAAGGTGGTACCGATATGGTAGCAGTAGCTGCTAACCTTGAGTTTATTCACTTCCCGGAAGTCATTAGGAAGTGAATTAAATTTTGTGAATGATTTAGATCTGCACACTGCCTCAGTTCGTTCTACAGAGTCCTTTCAATTCCCTTTATATTTTTTTTAAAATGTGCTTTCAATTTCATTTCTAAGACTCTGGTTTTGTACAGTTGTTTAGTTTCTTTAAAAAGTGTTTTTCAGGTTGATGTTCAGGGTAGTTGAGAAGCTGAGGAGCTGTCAGACTGCGAGGGTGGAGGCAGAGGCCAGGTGGGAAAGAGACAAGGGCAGGCCAAGTTTCGGGGAATAGGAAGAGAAAGGGTGGCCAGGACCTCGGCAAGGCTTGGCCTATGGGCCCCAGTCTTTGGAGCTGCCCCTCCCTCCAATGAGTTAAACAAATTCCTTCTCTCACATTCATCTTTTCAAGAACTCATTTTGTAGGTGAAGAAGGAGGAAAGAAGAAAGAATAGAGAATGTTCAGGGAAGGTATCCTGAGACTCTGGCCAGCAATGCCAGGCAGAATGGCTCTGGATGCTGAGGAGGGATCTGAGACTTGCCTAAATAGAAGTAGGGAATGGTGGTAGTATATGGTAGGGTGTTATAAATGTTTTTTTCTTTCTATTCGGGCACACAAAAGGCTACATTTGACCCAATTGCATCTTGTCATAGCTCATCAGCACTGGCAAGTAGACAGCATGCAGCCAAGTGTGTCTTCTCTGACTTACCTAAGGAGGGAAAGGTTTACAAGAGACACCGGACACCAAATGTGAGCGTTTGCTATGGGAATGAGGAGGGAAACACCTAAAATAATAGAGTTCAGAACCACTTTTGAGCACCTGCAAGGCAACCGGCCTAGGAAACGCCCAGAAACATGGACGCCAAGCTTAGTTTCAGGGGAGCTATTCACACTGTGATTTGAATTTAAAAAAAAAAAAAACGCTCAAGTTACTTGGTACAAATGAGTCTTAACTACAGACTCATTTTCAAATTTTACATAAATCCTTAACTAGTTAAAAAATCATAAAACGCCTTAAAAGAAGCCGTCAGTAGACTGCTCGGAGATGGCAGGAAATTAGCTGTATTGTTAAGGAACAGATGGTTTACATTATACAAACCCTTTAGGCTAAACTTGTTTAGGTCTGGCATATTGTAAATTATATTTTAGTAATGAAAGTGAAATGACCTCTGCTTGACCTCAAGTGGGGTTTGTCTGTTTGAACCAATGCAGTGGAAAACTATGAAAGAAAATGAAGTCATAAAGTTTTGGCAGTTCAATTTTGGCTCATTTCAAGTTAAGGGGTTATAAATCTGTTTAGTTTTTGTTTGACAAGTATTTGTCATACAGGGATGTACAAAATGTAAAGAAGTGTAAAATACACACGAGGCACCGTGCCAAAGTAAACTAAGTACAAAGGCACCCTGGGAAGAGCAGGGTCCCGGCCCCTATCTCTCCATCGCTCCCTCCATTAGTTGAATGACAAGATGGGCTGCGTTTATTATATGCTGTAAGGCAATTAAGTACCTTAAAACCGAAGCAGGCTTTCAGTTTAAATGTTAACATTTTTACTTCTCAAAGTAAACACACATCTGCCTCAGTTCGGCTTTAAAAATTATATCATTTTTGATGGGGGAGGAGGGGAAAGTTGATGCAGAAGTCGATGTGTTGGCCAGGGTCTGATAGGGCTTGTTCCCCCAGTCATTTTTTTTTTTTTTTTTTGGAGAGCCATTGGGCTAGAGTGGAAATGAACTCTTTTGCAGAAGGGAAAGAACATATAAGTTCGAGTCCAATATGAATCTGTTCTAGGTCTGGCCACTACACAGATCCTGAGGCCATGATGATGATGGTGGCCTCTTGACTGAGGGATGAATGGGAAGTAGTGATGTTCCTTTTCCTACCTCCCAATGGAAGTGATAAGCCACGGGCAGAGCTTTAACACGGTATAGAGATGAGCACAGGTTGGTAACGAGCCATCTCGATGACTTTCTCTTTCTGCCTTGGGGAAGTTTCATCTCAGGTGACAATACTATAGAAACTGGTGCCTGGGGCAGGAGAGCTGGTGGGAGGCTTGCTGTCTCTTTCTCCTTTTACATAGGTGATTAGACTCCCCCAGGGAGGGAGGTGGCCCTCACCAGTTACAGGGCAAAGATCCCTTGAAGACATTCCCTTTCTCTGCATGGCAAGGAGCTACAGTGTGGCGTGAGAGGGGAAGAGAGCCTCCAGCATGAAGGAGGATGCAACAGCAGGTACTCAGGGAAAGACAGATGAAGTTCATCTCAGCCTGAAGCTTCCATATGCAGCCCCTGCCATCCTGTCACGCAAGGCAAAGTCACTTCCCATGTTTTGATGGTCAGGCCAACTGCGACCCTGTGGTGTTTTGTTTGGAAAGCAGACTGTCCCCAGACACAAGCATTTCCGGGGACATAAAAGGCTCCACACCATGGCATTTGTGCCTGCCCATCTTAGGAGTGATGACACAGACACTAGTTCTACCCAAATGAGAGGTGTAGTTTTGGTGGTGGGATGTAGCAAGAGGGCATAGCCAGGTCTGTCATCTCTGGCAGCAGAGTTTTCCCTGAGATCTGCTTGCCTTGGAGACAAACTCTTTTCTGACTCTCAAGTACAAACCAGCAGATCTCACTAAGTGGACATCAGATCTAATTAGACAACACATTTGTTAGAGGAGATTGCTAGGTCCACCCCACAATCTCTGATTCTGCATGGCTGAGGTACCCTGTGTCCCGCAGTCCCCAGGTAAGCAGAAGCTCTTGGTCAGGAAGCCTTACTTATAAAGTCACTGAAATAAACAGTGTCTGGATTATTTACTCATCAAACTGGGCCCCTTGCTTCACTTACGAAGAATGATCATAGGGTAGCTGAAGAAGCTGGTGGGACAATTCTGACCCACACAAAGTACTTAAAAAGATGCTTTGGAAACACCAGGTGGAAGAAAAGTACAAGTTACTGACCAGTGAATAGCTTTCAGCTTATGTTCTGCACTCTACTGTATTAATATACCC